TGGTCCGGATACAGGCCAGGATGCCGTTGTCCTTCTTGGCCACCTGGGCACACTACTGGCTCATGTTCAGCTGGCTGTCAAGCAGTACCCCTGGGTCCATTTCCACTTGACCACCTTCTAACCCCTCTTCCCCCAGCCTGTAACACTGCATGGGCTTTTTGTGGCTGAAACGTGGGACCCAGTACTTGTTCTTGTTCAACCTCACACTGTTGGTCTCAGCCCATCGATCCAGCCTGCCCAGGTCCCTCTGGAGAGCCGTCCTACCCTCAGGCAGATCGACCCTCCCACCCAATTTGGTGTCATCTGCAAACTGACTGAGGGTGCCCTCTATCCCTACATCCAGATCCTCTATAAAGATGTTAAACAGAACCAGCTCCAACACCGAGCCCTGGGGAACACCGCTAGTGACCGGCCACCAACTGGATTTAGCTCCATTGACCACAACTCTCTGGGCCCAGCATCCGCCCAGTTTTTTACCCATCGAAGAGTCCACCTATCTAAGCCGCGAGCAGCGAATTTATTTAGGAGGACGCTGCGGGAGGCCATGTCAAACGCTTCACTGAAGTCTAGATAGACAACATCCACAGCCTTTCCCTCATCTACCAAGCAGGTCATTTTGTTGTAGAAGGAGATCAGATTGGTCAAGCATGATCTTCCTTTCATAAATCCATGTTGGCTGGCCCTGATCCCATGATTGTCCTGAACATGCTGTGTAATGGCACTCAGGATGATCCCTTCCATAACCTTGCCTGGAACCAAGGTCAGGCTGACAGGCCGGCAGTTCCCCGGATTGTCTTTCTGACCCTTCTTGTAGATGGACGTTACATTTGCTGACTTCCACTCTGCTGGGACTTCTCCAGTTAACCAGGACTGCTGGTAGATGATTGTTCGAGGTTTGGCAAATTCTTTTGCCAGTTCCCTCATTACTCTGAGGTGAATCCCATCGAGGCCCATAGACTTGTGAGTGTCTAATTGGTAAGGCAAGTCACTAACCATCTCCTCCTGGATTATGGGGGCTTCACTCAGCTCCATGTCCCTAATTTCCAGCTCTGAGGGCTGGGTGTCCTGAGGACAACTGGTCTTGGTATTGAAGACTGAGGCAACAAAGGCATTGAGCACTTCTGCTTTTCCCTCTTCCCCTGACACTACACTACCCTCTGCAATCAGCAAATGATGGAGATTCTCCTTGACCCTCCTTTTACTGCCAATGTATTTACAGAAACTTTTTTTGTTATCTTTAACTGCAGTGGCCAAATCAAGTTCTAGTTGAGCTTTGGCCCTTCTAATCATCTCCCTACACAACCTCACAACAACCCTATATTCCTCCCAAGTTACCTGACCTTCTTTCCAGAGATGATAGATTCTCTTTTTTTCCCCCCTAAGTTCCAGCCTAAATTCTCTGTTTAACCAGGTCAGTCTTTTTACCCTACACCTTGTCTTTCTACACACAGTGATAGCCTGCTTCTGAATATTACGGAACTCCTTTTTAAAGCATATCCAGCCTTCCTAGACTCCTGTCTCCCAAGGGACTCTGTCAATCAGTCTCCTAAACAGGCTAAAGCCTGCCCTCCAGAAGTCCAAGGCGGAGGTTCTGCTGGTTCCCCTCATTACTTGACTCAGTATTGAAAACTCTAACATTTCGTGGTCACTATGCCCAAGACGGCCACCGACCACCACATCACCCACTATTCCCTCTCTGTTTACAAACAACAGGTCTAGCAGGGCACCTCCTCTAGTTGGTACATTTACCATGTGCGTTAGGAAGTTCTCTTCCACACACTCTAGGAACCTCCTAGACTGCTTCCTCTCCGCTGCATTGTATTTCCAGCAGATATCTGCCAAGTTGAAGTCGCCCACCAGTACAAGGGCCAACAACCGTGAGACTTCCGATAGCTGCTTGTAGAATGCCTCATCTGCCTGTTCATCCGGTTGGGTGGTCTGTAACAGACCCCCACCGCAATGTCTGCCCTGCTGCCCTTCCCCCTGATCTTTACCCATAGGCACTCAACCTTGTCATCTTTACCATCATCAATTTCAATACGATCAAAACACTCCCTAACACACAGTGCTACTCCACCACCTCTCCTATTTCGCCTGTCTCTTCTAGAGAGCTTATAGCCATCCATTGCAGCACTCTAGTCATGACAGTCATCCCACCACGTTTCCGTGATAGCAACGACATCATAACTTTCCTCCTGTACAACGGCTTACAGCTCCTCCTGTTTGTTGCCCATACTGCATGTATTGGTGTAGATGCACTTCAGCTGGGCTAACGGTTTTGCCCCGACTGCCCCTAGGTTCATCTCTTGTGAGCCTGGTCCTGTCCTCTTCCCTCTTTGAACCTAGTTTAAAGACCGCTCAGTCAGCTCTGCTAACTTCAGGGCCACAACCCTTTTCCCCCTCTAAGGCAGCTGTACCCCATCTGACATAAGCAGGCCTGGTACCGTGAAAGCCGCCCTATGCTCAAAAAACCCAAAAATTTCACTTATGGCACCAGCCTCTTAGCCATGTATTAATCAGCCAATTCTTCTTATTCCTTTCAGTATTTTCCCCTAATACCAAAGGAATCGAGGAGATTACGACATGTGCCCCTACTCCTTTATCCAAATGCCCCAGTGCCCTGAAGTCCCTCTTGATTACCCAGGGACTCCTTCCTACAACCTCATCTCCACCCACCTGGAACACTAACAGAGGACAGCAGTCAGAGGGCCACACCAATTCAGGGACCTTCCTGGCTCCATCCCTTCCCAGGGAGGCCGCAGACTTCCCTGGGGGGTGGGTCCGGTCTGCACATGGGGCCCTCCGCTCCCCTCAGCAGGGAGTCACCTACCACAATTACCCTTCTTTTTTCCTTTTTGGAGCTGGTTGCAATACCCCTGGTTGACTGATTCTGCTTAAGCACCCCCCTCCACGGTCCTACATCCAGACCATTGTTTTCCTGGCTCTGTTTCCAGAGCCTCATACCTATTCTGTAGGGGGACATAGGGAGGCTGGGATGGGATTCACCTGCGACCCTGAGCAGGGACCTGCCTCCATTCCTACCATCTCCTAGGTCTCCTCTTGCCTGTGGTGGAGAGGAGAGAGGATCCTCCACCTCCTGGCTGGTACTTTTACCTCAGGGCTGGTAGAGAATGGCACCACCAGTCAACCTCTTCCTCAGACGCCCTAATGCCCCTTAACCTCTCCACCGCCTCCTTGAGTTGTGCCAACCAAGCAGAGCAGCTCATCGCCCTGCTCACACCTCGCACAGGAGACACCTCTGTCACCCCCTGCAGCCCCACACCTGGACCCCTGTATGCTTCCCAACGCAGCTCTGTTGGCGTTGCCCTGTTCTCCCTGATACACACAGAGGACCTGGCGCCCCGCAGAGCGGACACCACCCCCGGGCTCGCCCTTTGAGCTGGTGGAAGGGAGACGACACCCTCCCAACCGACGCGCCCACCCTGACTGACGTTCCCTAGAGCCGTTTAAATCTTCCGCAGTGCTCCCGGCTACGCCCCCTCCTCGTCTGATTGGTCGCCGAGAACTTCCTCGTCCTGACGGGACTCTGGGCGGCAGCTGCTGCTGCTCGGGTGTCCCTGAGTCCGGGAACCCCCCCGTACTGCTCGATCTAACCCTCACCCCGCACTTAGCGCAGTCGCTGCTGCTGCCGCCGCCGCCCCGCCGACTGTTTGTTCAGGTTTCACCGCGTTTACATCTCTCGCGGTGCTCCCGGCTACGCCCCCCTCCTCGCCTGATTGGTCGTCGGGAACTT